GAGACGGAAATATAACATTACTACACTGCCGTAAGCTGACAAAACGTCCTTTCTCATTTTGGCGCCAAATTTTTCAACTGGCTAAATCAAAAGACTGACCAGTAACCCTACTTGTGTGAAAAAATCAAATTGAAACTGTGACTTGTTTTTGAATAAATTCAAATTCAAATTTCGTAATGACTACTTTTTTAATGATTACACTGACAAAAAAACCCCTCCTTTTCTTGAAGCTGCTCAAAGAAGGCGTTTTGTCAGATTACGCAGTCGTTACCTAGATCATCAATGAGCTTTTTGTCTCCCAAAACATTTTTCATGGTCATAAAGACAGTAGCACTCTTGTTGGACACAGCCAGTACATCCAGCACTTCAGGGGACGAGAAGTAGGGCCCAAGATCCTGCGTCATTTTACTGAAACTGTGGACAGATGATCACATTTATGTGTCACGACGTGGTGGAGCCAGGCGTTCGTCAATTTTTGGGCATGTAGAGTTATTGGTATCATCTGCAAGCTTATTCATTTGCCTTGCTTACTATAAAAAAACACCTATTTATCTTGAATAGAAGTCGATATATTTGCCATTAAAGGAGGTGAGGGTAGCATGGTATGAAAGGTAAAATTATTAAGAAAATGGCCGCCAAAATTTGGTAACTTCTTTAGCTTGAGAGTCCTTGAAAACTGAAAAAAACCCATAATATTTCGTGCCATTAACCAACTTTTTTTCAGTAAAATTCACACGAAAATGCGTTTTTAAATGGACATAAAAGGTGTTGAGCCAAACATAGAAAGTAAGGAAAAAATTGTCAATCTCCCCCCCCCAAAAAAAAAATAAAAATAAATAAATAAATAAAAAATGCCGATTTCTTTGATTTCATTACTTCTTAATGAAAGCCTGATTTCACCACGATGCCTAACATTTGATAGATGACGTCACAAACGAGACAAACCGGTGTTGTACATGTACTCAACTTTAAGATAAAATGTAAACTGTTTTAGTTGTACGTAACCTAAAGGTTTAAAGGTAAAACTGTTTTACTTGTACGCAACTTTATTAAGATAACAGTAAACACGAAGTTAAAGTGTTGTAGACATTCGTAACCTAAAAGGTGAAGCGTTTTACATGTAAGTAACTTTAAATATTAAAAAGAAAAATTAATGTCTTATGTGTTAACCTACACAACTTAAAGATAAATTTTGATGGCAAAATGTTTTATCTGTACGTACACTTAAGATACACGTTAAAGTATTATACACGGACACAACCTAAAAAAAACCCTGTTTTACGAGTACACAAAGTAAAGGCGAAAGGTAACGTATTTCGCATAATATACGTAATACAAGGATAAACGGTTATAAGTGGTTACCTGAACATGACTAAAGATAGCGAGTAACGTGTTTTATGTAACCTAAAAGACGTGTGTGTAAAGTGAAGGTAAAAGATAAATTCGTGTTTTACATGAACGTAGCTTTGAGAAGAAAAGGCATGTATTTCGCATGTCCATAAATTAAAGTAAAAGGGTAAAGTGGTTTACGTGTTCATAATGTTAAAGATAAAAGTAAAATGTTTACCATGTACCTAACTTTATGATAAACGGTCAATTATTTCACATGATTTTTTAAATCCTCCATGCCTAAACGTATAAAGATTAAATGTTTTACATGTACGTAACCTACATGTTAACAGAAAGTGTTTTATGTATTGGTAACATAAATGTAAAAAAAAAGAAAGAGTTCTACATATTATACCAGTGGCCTACGTGACCAAAAGATGAAATGTAAAGTGATTTTCTATGTACGCGACCTAAGCTACAACAACACGTAAAAGGGTTATATTCCTCTCACCAGGAAGATAATATAATATCAATGAGAAGTTAAGTGGGGATAAGTAAATAAACGTGAATTGTACTGCTTTTTACATAAACGTAGGCCAAACAGAAACTCTAAAAGTAAAGTGTTTTACACGGTTGCATCGCAACCAATGACTGCATAAAAAACACATAAAGTTACTTTTATTTGCATTAACAACCTTCGTAACCACTTTTATTGTAGTCAAAATCCAGGTTGGACACATTTAGAGAAGTAGAAAGTGTTAGAAGGCAAATAATTCAATGGCCTCTGCTAGCGAAGTCAGAGACTGAGCTATGTGCGTCCTGTTTTTAAGTCGTCCTTGACTGCAAGGTAAATGGAAAAAGTGGGGGCCGGATACACACACTAGTATAATATTCTGATTTAGGCTAACTCGTGTGCGCAGTTGCCTCTATGGAATTATTTTGTCCTTTTTGGTGTGCCAGAACAAACCCAGTCTTTTGTAATGGGCCCAAAGAACACAGTGTATTTTTTCCCAAATGTTTTACGTGTGCACAGATGCAAACGAAGAACCGTGGGCAGTAAGTGTAACTTACGTAGAAAAGTGAGCTTAAAAAAAAGCACTTTCAGCATCAGAGCCAGAAGGCCAAGAGTAGGCGTAGCCAGTGCCAGTGTAATTATTTAATTTGCGCTCAAAGACTGAGAATAAACAACAAACAAAAAATGTTCACAATAAAAAAAAAAACTGTATGTGAAATTGTTCCTGGGAAAAGCAATAACTAATATGAAAAATAGTAAGCCTCGGGCTAACAGCAAAGAACACTGGCAAAGTAAAGTATAACCCCCCTTATTCCCTTTTCGTGCATCACTCCAATGACAGCCATCCATTTCGTGTTCCTGAAAGACGCAGCACCAATGTAACTTTGACCACCCATCAGTATCCTGGAAGTTACGCACGAAGTCCAGCAGTTTGAAATGGATGAGTAGAATGGG